TGCCCCTCCTGACCACCCACCTGCCCTCCTATCCCTCCTGCCCTCCTGCCCCCTCCCCTCTTGTCCCTCCTGACCACCCCCCTCCTGTCCCTCCTGCCCTCCTGTCCTGTCCCTCCTCCCCTCCTGCCCCCTCCTCTCCTGCCTCTCCTGCCTCTCCTGCCCCTCCTGCTCCCCCTGTTCTCCTGTCTGTCCATCCCTCTGTCCCTGCCTTCCTGGCAGATCTCACAAGATCAGAACCAGGGTGGGAAAAGTACAAGCTCCAGAAGCCTTGGTCCCTGGCAGCCAGCCTGGCCTTGAGCTTCCGACCTGATAAATGGACAGGCACAGGACAAAGCCTGGCCCCGCGCCATCCTGGGACGCGGTCAGCTTGGGAGCCCGAGCTCCAAATGTGCCACCGCAGTCCCTCTGCCCCCAACCCACAGCAGCTCTGCCCAGCGCGGCAGCCTTGGCCCCAGCGCACTTTGCGCCTGCGCAGCAGCTAGCAATCACGGATTCTGCCGCCAGGTTTCGCTGCGTACGCGGTCTGGAAACTCCTGCTAACCAGGGCCTCGGCTTCAGCTTTGCTCATCGTGCAGGGTGCTAGGTGCCCTGCAAAAGCAGCACCCCTCTTGCCCGTTATTTCATTTTTTGCTAGAATGAGAATTGAATCCAGCTACATCCCCAATACTGAGCTACATCCCCAATCCCTTTCATTTTGAGGCGGGATCCCTCTAAGTTGTCCTCAGCATCCTCCTGCCTAAAGCTACCACACCCGGCTTAGACTTTAGTTTCATAGAGCAGTTTTAGGTGCACAGAAAAATTAAACAGAAGGTGGAGAAAGTCTCCTGAGCCCTCTGTCCCCAGAGGCCGCTGGACCTGCCCCACCCCCTGTGGCGCCCTGCCCTATCTCCTTCCCCTCGGGCCCCTGGAGCCTTTTCTCAGTCCAAGCCCTGCCTGCTTCCAGCCGGCCCTGTTCTTGGAGTTCACACAGATGTCGACTCTGCAGTCCGGCATCTCGTCGTGCTCAGGAGTGTGCTTTTGGAGTCCCTCCCTGTGTGGTCGCAGCTGGTTGCCCTTTTCCTCTGTGTGTGACACCCTGCTGCCTGCTGTCCTACGCGTGTTCATCCCCTCGCTTCCTAAAGGATACCCTGGGGCCTTGTGAGATCCTGCAGTTATGGACAAACCGCTGTAAACATCTGCACCGCGCCTTCCCACTGACACAGGCTCTCGGCTAATTTGGGTAAATCCTCGGGGTGCGATTTCAGGTGTGTTTGTTTTTGCTCCCCAGTAGTGGCAGAGAGCTCCCGTTTCTCCGCATCCTTTCCAGGGTTCCTGGCTTTGGCCGATCCAGCAGACGTGTAGGGCAGGCCCACAGCTGTGGGGTCCGTCCCAGTTCCCCGGTGGGCTCCTGAATGTGCACATGGTGCTCCTGAAGACTATTTTTCCCAAACGTACCCACGATAACGTTTCATTTACAAATTAAGTGAGCGTTGTCGCGCACGCCTGTAACCCTAGCAGCACGGAGGCTGAGGCAGGAGGATAGCTGCAACCTCGAGGCCAGCCTGGACCACATAGCCAGACCCTATCTCAAAAAACATATTTAATTTGTAAATTGGACCCATGAAGGGATCAACAACAACTGTAATATAGGAACAATCACAACTGTACTGTACTGTACTAAGGAGGCATGTGGGATCTTTCTTATTGTACTTTCACCTTTTCACCTATAGGAGGCGTTTTCGGGTTTCTCTCTGCCGCATCCGCATCGCCAGCATTGCTGAAGTACCGTAGGAGTACTTGAACTGAAATACTGTCACGATGGGACTGTCACAACTCAGACAGTCCATTACCCCGTTGGCCACACAGTGCGTGGCAGCATGGATGTGCGGGCGACGTCGTGGGTCACTAGAGCAGGCACGGCGGGACAGTGCAAAAATCTCATCCCGCTCCACGGCAGCCTTCCCCGTTGGAACCTAGGAGCTACTTCATTCTGAGATTCCCGTTTAATGTTCGTGGACAGGAGTTGACTGCAAAGCACCAAAACCGTGGCGCGAGGTCTGGAGTAAGGGATCTATGGCTGTTCTGAGATCAGCGACTCCAGGTGGCTGTTTGGCTGTGGGGCGGCCCGAACAAGCCGTCTCTCCACCCTCCCGCCCCTTCTGTCTCTGCACGGCCAGCTTTGTTCCTGGCGCTCTGTGGCAGGGGGGGCCACGGTGCCCGACCCTGAAAGAACTCACCATGTCTACCTGCCTATATCACTACCCCTACAGTGACCGGCAGAGTCGCCGGCCTGGGATACAGACACAAGGGGGCGCCATTGCCGCGCAGATGAGCCAGACCTTGGTTCTTGGCGGGAACAAGGAAGAGGAGGTAAGATTTCTTCTCAAGGGCCTGCACAGAAGACACGGGTCTTACAAAATCCTAAAACACCGGACAAGATAGAATTTCATGGGTGCTGTCCCAAACTCAGGAAATCCGGAGCAGCTTGCGCACCTCCCAGCCGCTGAGCTCACTGCCTCCTACCAGAGCACCCCATCAATCTTAGGACAGCTCTGCCTGTGTGCAGAGTGTTGCACGGTGGCCCGAAGCCACCTGGCAAACACCACCAGGTCTTCAGGGCTCACAGTGCCCGCTGAATCCAAAACTTTCACAAGAACTTTACTCAGGAAACCACAAGAAGGAGAAAGCTTGAAATATTTAAAAAGGTTCAGAACACAAATGTTAATGGGAAGTTTCTGGCTGTTTACAGGATCACTCAGAACTGCTCCAAATATTTGTTAACCAAGCAAGGGACGCCCGAGGGTTGAGCCCACAGAACAGGGCTGTGGTTGGTGGGGTAGCTGAGGACACAAGTCGCTGCACCAAGAGCCTTGGTGGGAAGTGAGGTCACCAACCCGAAGGTGCCACCTTTCTGGAGAACGCCTGCTGCAACATGGTCAGAATAGAGGCACTGATCCCCAGGAACAGCTGTGCCCTCTTCGTGGTACGACCAGAGAAGTCCTCCAACAGGTCTGCATTCCCTGAAGCAGGACCCAGGGCAGCCTGGGCACATTTCTGGGACAAAATGAGGGGGTCCCTGGGAGGGGACAGTAGCAGCGGCAGCCTGGATCCACACACCAAAAAACTTAAGTTTAAAAACCACGGGGTGCCATTCTTCACACGGAAAATATGGTGGTGCATACCTGTAATCCCAGCACTCTGGGAGGCTGAGGCAAGAGGATTGCAAGTTCAGGACGTCTATCACCAAACATCATCAAAGCAGCCAAAAGTACACGCACCATGGAGTACAGCAGGGGGAAAACCACCTGCACACCCCAGCCAGATGTCAAGGATGGTTCAGCTGGTGATGAGCCTGGAGCCTGGATGCCATCCAGAGTGACAAATCAGTGCCCGAGGTGTGAATTTAGGGAAGGATGAGAAATGGGACAAGGGGGTTGCAGGAACAATAAAATTAAGATCACAAAGTGTCAGATTACAGGGTAATTCCTACCTCTAAGCAGGCCAGGCTTCAGGACCAATTACTGGAGCAGAATATTAAGGCCTGAGGTATGGCTTAGGGCCAAAGTGGCCCCAAGGTTCACGTGTCCATAAACAGGGCTTTCAGAAAGTGACTGGATTTGGGGGTCGCAAAGGACCCTCCTGTCAAGCTGCAAATCCCATGAGAATCAGACAGCACTATCAAATGTCAACCCTTGTCAAAAAGGAAAGGGATGAAGAGATGGTTGATTTTTTTTCTTTTTTTACTTTTGTACTATTTGTTGTTTTTACAGTGAACATGTGCTATTTTTATAATTAAACAATAAAAAACCCTTTAAAATGATTTTTTAAAAAGTAGAGAACTAATCACAGTGGATCATGTCACAGAAGGTCAACTGTGGGGCCGGGTCATCCAGTCGAGTCCAGAAGCCCCAACATGGTCGCTGTGTTCTGATCTGCAATCATCATCCTGACCTCCGTCACCACCTGCAGGGCACCACGGTGACTCAAACTTCCACGGGTACCCACAGGAGATGGACCTCCTGCTAATAAGCTCCTGCCATTGGGGTGCAGGAGAAACCCAGACACCAAGGGCTAATTTAATTTACAGAGTTCAAGACCGCGCGTAGGCACGTGGAGCGCTCAAGGGCGTGAAAGCCCCGGGCCTAGGGCGCAAAGGCGGTGAAGAAGATGTGCATCTTGGCTAGGAAGGTGGTGACGGAGCCCTGGCGCCACAGCTTCATCTCCACATCCAGGGCGAAGTCCCGGGGCTCCAGCACCGGCCGCTGCAGCAAGACCAAGCCCGTGTAGGCGTTGAGCCGGCTAGTGCGGAAGTAGCCTTCTTCGTTGCCCCTGGTAATGGTCAGCGAGATGGTGTCGCCCGCAAAAGCTGGCGAGGGGCCAATGCGAAAGATGTGTGCGGGCACCAGCATGCCGGTCTGGAAGTCGATCTGGTAATAGGTGATGCGCGCGGGAGAGTTCTGGCACTCCACTAGGTCGTGGCATGTGGTGCGCTCACACTTCCTGTGGAACAAGGTGGGCAGGGCCTGCTCAGGGGGCAGGATCACGGGCAGGATCTGTTTGGTGGACCGGACTCATGGGGCGGGGCCTGCTGAAGGGACTGGCTCACAGGCAGGGGCCTGGTTGGTGGACGGCGCCTGCAGGGTGGAGCCTGGTGGGGCCTGGTCAGCGGGTGAACTCACATGCTGGGGCCTGGTTGGTGGACAGGGCTTGGGGGATGGGGCCTGGTCAGTGGGCGGGGCTCTTAAGGCCCTACCCTGACCTCGTGGCTCCCTCTCCCACACCAAAGGGACACAGCCCTGCCTAGCATCTCCTTCCTGTGACAGTGTTCCTAAGCACCAGCATAAGGCACCGCACCTACTCATCTTCATGCCTTCCATCCTTTTGACCCCTTTTTCCTTCTTCCTCTCCTGCCAGCCTCCCGCCCATGTCCCACCACCTCCTGTCCACCTCACCCTTGCCTTGCCTGGTCCCCTCAGGAGATATCTTTAACTGGGCTTAGCTGTGTGGCTGGTGGCAGAAGCCAGTTCAGTCACCTCCAAGATTAGCTTAGGTTAAAGAACTGTCACTCGCTCTGTGGCCAGTCTACACGGGGGAGGGGGGGGGGATGTCGGGTCAGAAGCATGCCCATGCAAAGGCCCAGAGCCATGAAAGTGGGCAGTGTCAGACCCCAGTGGCTCCTGCGGATAATGTGGCCCTAGGAGAGAGCCAGTCACACCGTTGTCAGGGTCCCCACCCTCAGAAACAGGATGAGCTAACATAGCTCCCTACATGAAGGTGCTAAAGGTTGGGAGAATTTGTTACACAGCAGTAAGTGACTAATACACTATCTTCTTGTGTGCACAGATGCACAAGCAGGAAGTGGTCAAGGCAGACCCCTGTCACTTGGTCTGGGCAGCAAGGGTGCAGTGTGGGGTGGGGGTGCCAGGATCCCCCCTGGGGTTGGGGACACTCACATTTCAGACACCCGGACATAGTTGGGAGGGCACTCGAAACGTAGGCAGCGGAAGCTGCCCTTGAGGTTGTGGCAGGTCTCCGCCTCTGAGCAGTTGTGTGTGCCCAAAGCACACTCGTCCAGGTCTGGGAAGCAGAAGAAAGGAGATGAGGGGAACCCTGTGGCCAGCTAGAGCTCATCCTGGATTTGAGAACACAGGTCCCTCGCCACTCGGTACTATCTTGTACAGCTTGTGTCTAAATGTCCTCCAAAGCCTCATGCACTGATAGACAGGGCTTTTCAGAGGTGGCTGGATCTCGAGTATGTGCTGCTAAGATCAAGGGTGTGATGCCAGGACTAGGATATGCGACTGCTGCACCCACCCTGAGCCCTAGCCTAGATAGGACATGAGCTGTACAAAGAGAAGCTGCTAGTCACTTGCAGCTTGCTGCTTCAGTTGCCTGCTTTTGCTGTCTTCTGCGCACCATGAACTATTTCTCCTCTGTGATGCCCCTCCATCATGCCACTCTGCTTTGGAACAAACTGACCAAGTTCTGAAACCACTACAAACTGTGAGCCAAATAAACCTTTCATCGCTTCACTCATGGTCCTGGATATTTTGTCTCAGCAACAAAAGAAAAGTAACTGAGACGCACACAGGCACTGCACCAGCCAGTAGTTGCGCTGTCTACTCACATCACCTATGTCTTCACTTCTGATGGCCTCTCCTGGCTCCCAGCACGAAACCCAAATGCCTCCTGGGAACACAACGCTCCGGCCAACATTCCACGTGGGCTACAGCACTGCCGGACACCTTGGTCCTCTGCCCCAGTACCTGACCTGACCTACCCTGGGCCTGCACACTCACTGCCACTTCTGCTGGGCCACTTTCTACCCACGTTCCCCAACTGGCTCCATTTTTATGGAGCTGGGATGCAAAGTGCTCTACCTCTGTGCTGCAACTCCAGCACTTAAGTTTTTCCTTTTTACTTTGAAATAGTATCCCTAAGTTGCCAAATCTAGCCTTAAATTTGCAGTCCTCCTTACTCAGCCCCCCAAGTAGCTGGGATCACAGGTCGGGGCCCCACTCCTGGCTTCCACAATGGCTCTTTCTTATCTTTCAGGCCTCAGCTATGTGATTACCTCCTCCAGGATGCCTTCCTGCCTCCCTTACCTTGTCCTCCTCCCCCACTCCCACCATCCTGCCCTGTGTTATAATTATTCCTGATTACTTGCCCCCCTCTGAAACACACTGTGGCTTTGTACACGGTCAGCAATGCTCCCTGTAAGCCACACAGAACACAGATGTCTCACTTACTGGGGGCCCGCAGACCCAGACATTCTTGTGTCAAGTCCAGAAAGCGTGGGGGTGGAGTGCACACAGGCTCAAGGACACCCATGCGGTGCACAGCAGTGCAGATGTGCACATGCCCAGAAGGTGTCCAGGCAATGCTCAGAGAAGTTAGCGTGTTTATAAGGTGAGATTATGGGTTCCTCTGTCACCCCCTGTGGGGACCAGCTGCTCAGCTTACAGTAAGAGCTCAGGAAGCCCCAGGGCCTGCTCTGCTGCTCTTCCCAGTCACTACCTAGGCTGCAGTGTGCTTTCTGGTTGGCCTATCAGGGATTTCTCCTCTCTCAATCCTCAAGCTAGCCCTGTGCTCCAAGGGTCACTGGTCTTCTGACACTTGGGAGGGGAACAGTCTTGTCCCAGGTCACACAGTGGTCAGCAGAGCAGCCAGGCTAGAGCCAAGGTATGTTATGATGCCAAAAGGTGGCATCTGTTGAATGCCAGGCTGACTCCTAAAAGCAATCTCAGGATGAAGACCCCACCAACCATGCAGGGGTACCACCCGCCATCACCTGCCATCACCTGCCACCCTCAGGATGCCATGGACGTGCCCAAGGCCAAGTGGCTGCCTAAGGACAAGGCCTGGCCTCACCCCACTTCCTCTTGCCTAGCCCAGAGTGGGCTGTGGCCCCAGGTCCTCCTTCAGGGCTGCTCCCTCCCCAGGCCCCAGTCTGTTCCTCAGTAAAAAGTCACCTTCCCCATGCCTGGGGGGGGAGGGGAGTGCCCAGGCTGGATGAGGTCACTTCCTGCTGATTTGTCAGTGACTCAAGATGACAGGGTTCCCTCCAGCTCCTCAGCCTGTGTTCTGGGTCACCCACTCCCGTGACTGTGGCCTGGCTATGGGTGGGCAGACCTGCGGGAAGCCAGCTCCTTGTAAAGGGCTGTGAGCACCACAGGTGGCCATTGTGAGACTTTCCTGCCACTGGAGCCTGTTTATGTGGGTTCCCAGGCTCCTGTGACGAGGAGCTCTTAGTCCTGCAAACCCCCTGGAGAGCCCAGGCCAGGTGGGTGAGGGCAGGATGTGCTCTATACCAGGATATCACTGCAGGGAGCCAAAGAACACAGGGACAGAGGGACACCACAGAGCGCAGCTCCCACAGGAAAGGCTCTCTCAGGACCTGAGAAAATGCTCTGCGACTTTCGGCAAAATCTCCACTAATACACATTCACAGTGCTGTTCTAGGTATCTGCCAGGGCTTGGCTCTGGGGCCCCTGGCAGATCCAGACACACGCAGGCACGCAAGTCCCTTACAGAAAGTGGCAGTGTCCGAGCGAGCAGCCTCCACTCACCCTCCCTCCCATCCACCCGAACTCCTCCCTAGAGAATGTCTGTGCCTCACACCACACAAATGCACCGTTGGTAGCTGCTGCACTGGTGGTAGCTGTTCCACCGTGTGGCTTAGCACCTGGACGTCTAATCTTGTGGCTGCCCTGGCCCACGCCGAGTAAGGAGGAATAGTCTGGGGCCACATAGCAAATGTAGAAGAGTTAACGCTTATGAGTGACAAAGCTTCTGATATTTTACCCAACAACAAAACAACCTCAAGTGTGAACATTAAGTACACTTGCATGGCTGCTTAAATCACAAGAAACACCTGTCCTTGCAGGCACACACCTGTGAGTTGAGGCTCTGTCACTGTCATTGCTGTATTTCACCTGCCAAACCGCATGGGACATGCTCCATCTGCTCCCCTCGGGTTCCCACTGGACTGCATGTGGAGAGTGCAGGAGGCCGAGGCAGCACAGCACCACGCCCTTCACTAGGTGGCATTCATCTGTGCAGTCTGCCCATCTGGGCCACTCGATGGAATCATATAATCGTACAATAGCTGGGCATGGTAGCACGCACCTATAACGCAGCACTCTTGGAGGGTGTGTGTGTGTGTGTGTGTGTGTGTGTGTGTGGTGACATTTAGCAGCAGCTCCTCTCCATCCAGCACCTTGGCCCAGTGTCCTGAGCTGGCTGGGGCTCTAGGTGGGGTAAACCATGCTCTGCCCTCTTGGGGTACAGATTCTAGAGGACATAGGTGAGGCCAAGAAAGTGCCCTCCTGTCCTTGTGTCCTGGTCATGACTCCATAAGAGGGGGTGCTCATGAGGTCTCAGCACATGGCTACCCTGTGGCCAGCCTCCTGGCCACCTTCCCATAAGCTGACACCTCAAGGTTTGGTCTGGGTTTACATAGGACCAGTGCACATAAGGGACAGCTGCTTAGCTTCACAGGTCAGTGGCTAGCCCAGATCCCTGGAGTGACTCAGGATGCAGACTGTCCAGGGGCTGACATTGGGGCACCCACGGCCAGCTAGGAGCAGGGTTACTGAGCCCTAAGAAATCTCCTATCCCTCCATGAACAGCACCAAGACACAGGGAAACCCTGGGTTCTCAACCCCAAGTGCTTTGTGTGGGACAGCAGGGGATGGGCTGGGGACAGTTTCCAGCCTGCAGTTCTCCTGGAAATGGTCACACTGCATTCTGCTGTGGCACAGAAGGCTGCTGCTGTGACAAGGCATCACATTCTAAGGATGCAAGTGCTGTGTTCTGACCTGCTGAGCCTTCCCTGAGCTCACAGAACACACAGCAGAGGCTTCACGGCCAGGGAGCCCAGGGGTTTTCTGCGAGGCGGAAGCTGTGAGCAGCTGTACATGCGAGCACATGTCAGGCTTAGGACTTAGGACAAGTTTATCCCTGCCTTGTCCCACATCTGCCTCCAGTAGCCCTACTGCACTAGAACCAAGTATATATTTTGAGGACACTTACACAACCACGGCCCAGTGGCAGGCGCCATTCCACATGCTCCCGTGTCCCATTGTGCAAGCTATTTGACAACCCCCAACTTGATCCCAGGATGCTTGGTTAAGGACAGCCTGCAGCACTAGGTCTCACTCCAGATCCTTCTGGTGCTGCCTGTCCCCTGCTCCAGCCCAGGGTCCTCCAGCCTCTCAGTGCCACTGTCTAGGGAGACACAGCCCCAAAGCCAAGGGAGCGGCAAGTGCCTCAAGCACCAGAAGGCCCAGCGGTCAGCCCTCCAAGGTGAAGCTGGTTCCTATCCTGCATCCTGCCCCTCCACCTGGCCCATGCCTGGCAAGGTCCACCTGAGCTTGGTGGCCCATGGCTAGGGATGTAGACAAGACTGTCTTCAAAGTCACAGGACCAGTGCCATCCAGTTCCCTCTGTTGGAAATCAGACAGGTGACTGCCCTGCCCTAACTCATGTGTCACCAGGGGTAGGGGGCCCTCCCTCATGCAGTCTTCCCTGGGACCCTCTGCACTCCTCCCAGGGAGGCCCACTGCCAGCCCCCACCTCTGAATAGCACTGCAGAGACTCAGGGACAGTGACTGAGGCCCCGCATCCACCCTGGACAGTCCCCTGCCTTGTTATCACCCCTCAAGGCATCTTGCCTTACTCCCAGGAAGGTAGTCCACCTGGAAGTCTACACAGGGCTGAGCAGCCACTTCCTGTCCCCAGACACTGCAAGCACAGAGCATTCTGTGTTCATGAACCAGCGCAGTGTGGCAAGTGCCCAGCAAGCTGTGTGAGGTCCCCATGCCCACCCAGTACCCACCACTGCTTACCCTTGCAGGACCTGCCATTGGCCATCATGGTATAGCCCTGCTCCGGGCATGCACACTGGTAGCTTCCGGGTACATTGAGGCATCGGAAGGCACAGAGCATGCCAGCGGCCTGCGCACATTCATCAATGTCTGCAGAGAGAAGGTCACTACCTCTGTGGGCCTCATGCATCCACATGACCTACCACAGACAGCCTGTCCCCGCCACAGCCACAGAGCCAGAGGCCCACTTTACAAATGAGGGTATGAGGCCTTTAGAAATAGAAGCAAGTCCCCTCAGGCCACATGGCAGATCAGGGCTCCCATTCCAGTGCTCTCGCCTTTGCCCATTTCCTCCAGCAGAGGCCAATCAGGTGCCAGTCATGGCCTCTACATTCTGACACCAATGATCAGCCTGCCCATGGCAGAGGAGAAGAGGGGCCTACCTATGCAGGTGTGCCCGTCTTCTGACAGCTGGTAGCCCTGGCGGCAGTAGCACTGGTAGGAGCCGTAGATGTTGGCACACTCCTGGCTGCAGCGCTGGTTCTCACATTCGTTCACATCTGCAGAGACACCAGGCAGTGGTCACGGGGACTGAGGGATCCTCCCAGTCCAGGCATGAGGCTCAGGCCCCCAGCTTACACAGAACCTTGTCTCAGGAGAACTTAGGTTTCAGCCAACCTTGAGGGCTGATGCCCCCAGAAAAAGGCAGGGATCGAGCAAGGGCGGGGGCAGAGCTGGCCCCAGGTGGTGTTATGGCCTAGAGCTACATACACTGCCAAATGTGCTGTTTAGAGGCCGGGCCAGGGGAGGGGGGCCACTGAGAAGAACCCTGGAAGGGAGCATTCTGGCCCCTGGTCCCCTCTCTGCTTCCTGTGGTGGGCTGAGCAGCTGCCTCCACCAGGCCATGTCTGCCTTGGAACCAACAAACCATGTACTGTACCCACAGAAACTGAGCCAAATAAACCACTCTGCCTTTAAATTGCTGGTATCTGGTATTTTGTCCCAGCAACAGGAAAGTGACCGATACAGCTGGGCTCCAACTGGGTTCCTTGAAGTTTGAATCCCTCTGTAATGTATAAATACCACTCAGTTTTACACAAATACTAAGATTCCTAGCTTCTAGAAAGCCAAGAACATGAGGTGGCTCTGAGACTGAACCCTTGGTGGCTCCCACTTTGGGGCCCTGTTCTCTTAATTCCTTATCTACCTCTGCATTCTGGGCTTTCAGTTCCCCCACCTGCAACTGTAGTCACGTGCAGTGCCTGTTTATCAAGGTCTGCAAACAGAGAGGCCTAGAGAGGCCAGAGGCCAGGATGTAGCTAGACATAGGAAGGGAAGAGCCAGAGACCAGGGATGTCCGAGGCTGGGATGAATGGGGCCAGGCACCAGGGTGGGTGAGCCAGATGCCACAATGGGAGGGCCAGAGGCAAGGGCAGGGCCAGAGATGAGGTGGGCGGAGCCAGAGAATAGGGAGGGCTAAAAGCCGGGTGGGCGGGGCCAGATGTCAGGGAGAGCTCATGGCTGGTGGGGGGACGCCTCAGTACCTTCGCAGTGCTTGCCATCCTCAGCCAGCCGGAAGCCGGTGGCACAGGAGCAGCGGTAGGAGCCCAGCGTGTTCTCGCACGTGTGCTGGCACAGGCGGCCTGGCGAGGTCCAGCATTCATTCACGTCTGTGGAGGGGTTGGGGTGACCATGGGCTCCAGGTAGGCAGAGTGCGGAGAGCAGAGCTGACCGACAGCCAGTGCCCTATGCCAACCAGGTCCTCCCCTCCCCACCCCAGCTGAGGAAGGCATGGGCATGAGGACAGAGGAGCCAGGCACTGCAGGAACCAGGCAAATGGGCACAGACACAGCAGCCCAGAGAAGCAGAGAAGCCCTAGCCTGTTGCCCAGCTGCAGAGAGGAGACTGAGGGAAGACGGGAGGAGGGCAGGGCTCTAGGCCAGATGTACCAGCAAGGGGTATGGGGTGCCTGGGGACAGGGCTGCCCACCTACCGATGCAGGAGCGGCCAAAGGCGTCCCGCTGGAAACCGGCCTTGCAGTCACAGCGGTAGGAGCCAGGAAGGTTGTGGCAGATTTGCCCCTCACCGCCGCAGCGGTGCACGCCTGTAGCGCACTCGTTCACATCTGCAGAGGAAGTGCCACCCTGAGCATTCACTAGCCTTGTGCCCTTGGCCTTTCTGGGCAGGGTTAGGTGCCCGCCTTACCTACGCACTGCTCGCCATCCGCGCTGGCGTGGTACCCATGCCTGCACACCAACGGGTTCCTCTGGCACCTGTAGGAGCCCACTGTGTTGACGCAGCTGAAGCCAGGACGGCAGGGCTCGGGTAGTGACGTGCACTCATTGATGTCTGCAGAGGGGGCACAGGTGACCAGGCCACCCTGGGCAGCACTACCCCCAACCTGTGTCCCATGACCTCAAAGGTGTGCCTCCAGCCCCCAACATAAGCTGTGCTGGCTAAACTCCTCACATCTGATGGGCCCGCTGGAGGCAGAGGGAAAATGAAGGCTGAGTCTGGGTAACTACAGCTGCTCTCCCCTAAAGCTGCCCATCTTACACAGTGAGTGGGGCCCTGCCAGCCACCCCTCCCCCTCCCCCCTTGCCCTGACACCCCACCCCACCCCAGGGCCTTTGCATTTGCTGCCAGCTTCCCTGGTACACACTTCCTCAACTCTGCCCCAATGTCACCCTGTCTGGGAGACCCAGGGAGCAATCTGAGTAGAACTCTCCTTTATACCTTTAGCCCCTACTTGTTTTACTATGTATCAAAATGAATTACTGGGACTTTTATACACTTGGTTGGTTATTGGTGCTCCTCTCAATGTCCTTGTTGGGCTGCTGTAGCTCCTTCACACTGAATCCTGGCACAAAAAAGTCCTCTGTGATTAGATCACTGAGGAACAACAAATTTGATAGGCCCCTCCCCACCTTTCCCTGAAGGTCCTAGGCGTCCCCCTGCACTGTATGACACACAGGTGAGGTCAGAGGGAAAGGGGACACTGGGGACAGTGTCTTGGAGAGGGCTCCCGAAATTGGCCAATGGAACCACTGAACCCTTGAGAAGGCCTCCACAGCAAGTCAAGAGCCCCTTTGACCCCACCTCCTGCCTGTGACTGTAAGGAAGGGCAGATAAGGGCTCTGTGCCCAAGTCGCCCTTGGTCCTGTCCACTCCTGCTCTCCCTACTGTCCCTCTGCACTGTCCACCCCTGTGGCAGAGGTGGCTACGACCTCCCCAGGGAGGCCTCCTGGCTGATGAAGGACAAGAAGTGTGGTATCGCAGGGCCTTTGGGGCCAGGAGGCCAGCATCTGTCTAAGTGTAGGCCTCGAGCCATCAGTGCAGCATGGACTCATTGCAGTACTCAATAGCAATCTTTAAAAATAGGATTTCAGTGAGTGTGTGAGTTATTATTTTTTTTTTGAACTTTGTGTGCTAGCTGACCGTGACTATGTGTGCTTGTACCAAGTCACGACCAGACATAATCTTGCTGGCCAGGTTAAAAATGTTTGCTATGCATTCTTCCAGTCCAGTAAACTGAGATGGTAAACTGAGGCCATGAGCAAAATAACTGAGCCAAGGTCCAACTCTTCAGGCTAAGAAAATACCTACTGTTCTGCAGGTCTGCCTGGGCTTGGGGTTCCCAGCACCCACACAGCCGACTCACCCACGCAGTTGCCCTCAGGGTCCTGCAGGAAGCCCTCCATGCAGCGCTGCCGGGCCTGGCAGTAGAAGGAACCCTTGGTGTTCTGGCACGAGAAGCCAGGCTGGCAGGTATGTGAGCCCATCGCACACTCGTCCACATCTGCAAACAGAGGTTGGGGGTCGGGTAGGTGGACCCCAGTCCTCATATCCCTGCCCTCAGGAAACTGTGACTTTGATAGTCCCAGAGGTCGTCTGCATTCCCGGAAGCTTGGAGGACTAGGTCCTGGCATGGCCAGGGTCCCAAAAGTTACCATGAAAGACCAGATGGACTGAGCCTTCCTGTGGTCTGAGCACTGCCAGATGCACCAACTTAGTTCACCCTCACAATCGCCCTAGGATGTAGATGCCACACGAGCCCCAGGTTACACAGGGGAAACTGAGGCACTGGGCTGGGTGCAGAGCTCAGGCAGTCAGGCCCAGCACATGCACGTGTAACAGCTCACTGCCCTACCTCTGTGAGGACAGAGAGAGGCAGGAATGAGTGTTTATGTCCCTGAGGGAAGGGTAAATGGTGACACTTATGGGAAGGTCGCCCAGGCAGTACCTAGGCTCCAACCCCGGAGAACTCTGCTTCCACTCCTGGCTCACGGTCTGCTGCTCCCTAGGCTGGAACTTCAGTCTCAGTAGCCACCCATGACTTCAGGTCCCTCCGCCGGGGGCCTCCTTCCACCCCCACCTGAAACAGCTCCCAGTCCTGGGCTATTCTGACACTCCCCACTTGCTACTGTGTTCCCCATGTCTCCTACCTTGAGGTCAGTGGAAGGGCACAGCACCCCAGCCTGTACCCCTAGTCCAAAACCCTTTCAGGCACACAGGGGCAGCTCAGGCAGTATTTGTTCAGTAGAATAAAAATTCTCCCTTAGAAGGCTAGAATTTCCCAGTGAAAGACGCAAGTGATTTTCCTGGGGGTCTCAAACCCGGGTCAGCACACAGCAGGAATGTGGGAGGTAGGACCCTGGCCTCCCCGCACTCAGCTCAACTCCTCCACTTCTACCCCAACACCATCTCTGGGGTCCTCCCATGAGCAACAAACTGAAATCCTGGGAGCTTGCAAAAAAGAAGGGTGGGGTGGTGCACATGTGGGTGGGATGGGGCGGGGCTAGGCTTGGGGTTGGGTGGGGCATGGGGCAGGGCCAGGAAGGGCCACAGGGTACCTAGGGGGCAGGGCAGGGGCAGGGCTCCAGCCAGTGCGTCTCACCTAGGCACTCCCCATCCTTGAGAACAAAGCCTGGCTCGCAGGTGAGGGCCTTGTAGCAGCGGAAGGAGCCCAGCGTGTTCACGCAGTGTTCGCCCCGGCTGCAGGTGTGCAGGTCTGTCACGCACTCATTGAGGTCTGCAAGGAGAGCGGGGCTGGCCGTCAGGGTCTGCAGGGTGCTCCCAAGATGGACATCCGGGAGCAACCAGAGGGCCTCAGGCCATCAGGAGGGAGGGAGCGCGGGCCCTGCCCTCGAGGTACTCACCGTTGGGAGCCAAGTGCACAGCTGATGTGCCCCATCCATGCACCCCTTCATTCAACAAAGATTTAGGAAGCACCCGCGAAATGCCAAGCACCCTTCTTGGCAAGAGGGATGCACACACTGAGAACAAGACGCACACACACGCCCGAGCTCGGGCCAGATATGCAGATACACAAGCACAGGATTGGGAGGCCGTCAGGAGTACTGTGCTGACCAGCGCAGGGGAGGACGCAGGAGAGCCGGTTCAGCAGGGGTGTGGAGTTCACCTGTCAGGAGCATTCTCGGGAACAGCTCTGTGGGGGCCTCCGGCAGGTAGCTGGGCATGGTGGTACATGCCCATAATCGCAGCACTGAGGGAGGCTGAGGCAGGAGGATCACAAGTTTAGAGTCCTGTCTGGACAACTTATTGAGCTCATGTTTCAGAATAAAAAATAAAAGGGCTGGAGATGTAGCTCAGGGGCTGAGAACTCCTAGACAAAGACAATAATCCAGACGGATGGTAAGGTGTGGGAAGCTACCTGGTTCTAGAGATACACAGAAGGCAGAGGACACTGAGACCCACTGAGGACGGAATGAAGGCATGCTATTCTGTTGGGCTGAAGTCACAGGCAGCAGCCGGAGTGAACATCAGGGCACCCAGCCTGCTCCACAACCTCCGCTAGTTCACATCCTGTGCTGGGTGAGTGGCTCCCTCCCACATCCTGCAGCCCCGCCCACCTGGAGCACTTTCCCAGGGGGGCCAACACAGTCCTCAAAGCACACAGCACAAAAAAGGCAAATGGTAAAAGTACAGGGCAGTCCCTGGCAGAGGTAACACCACAACTATTCCTCTCTGGCTTACATACCTCTAGCTATGGGGAGCTCACTACCTCTGGAGAGTCCCCAGTGTGACATATCTGTAGAGCAATCACCACCACAAAACACTGGCAAAGTAACTTACATGGAGCAGAAAGGGAGAGCGAAAGGTTAAAAGAACCGATTTAGGTTCTTTTACCATTTTAAACAAATCTTGGAGTGCACTGAGCTACATCCCTATCCCTTTTGTTTTTTTAGATTTAGTTAAGTTTTGGAGTTGCCCAGGCAGAGTTCAAACTTGCAGCCCTCCTGCCTCAGCTTCCCAGAGTGCTGAGATGACAAGCATGCATCTGTACCCATCACTGTACCCAGCTTGTTCAACAGTTATAAGTAGAAAGTGATAGAGGCAGGACTTGAACTCCGGTCATCCAGTCTCAAAGCCACTTCCCTGTCACCTGCCAGGTATTGCCTGGGAGCCCCAGAGATGTCTGCAGCTGTGCACAGGAGGGCAGAGGGAGAGAGGTACGAACACAGTCACTTGAGCACGTGAGGGTGTGTGTGGGTTTGTGCAAGATGAGCAAGGATGGAAACACAAGAGCACAAGTGCAGATGCTGTGCTGACCATAACGTCCACAGCATCCATTCCAACTGTCAGGGACCCCCTTCGCCTCTCAGGTTCGTCTCCAGACCACCAGGGAGCCTGCCTATGGGGCACAGTAGGAAGGGTGCAGAAGCACCCAGCAGGGCCACCTTCCCAGCCAGACCACAGTCCCACTCCAGATGGCAAGAGCTGCCACCCACAGGCAGCCAGGTCAGAAGGCGTGTGCTGTGTCCAAGGCTGGGTGCCTGGGGAAAGCATGTCTGCCAGGCCCAGCCAGCACCTTGGGCCCCTGCCTATGCACAAGGCTGGACACAGCACTGAGCACAGAGACAATGGGACCTGGTCCCTGCCTTTGTGCTTCCTGACCACCTCAGAGCCAGGTGCAAAGTCCACCTCTCCAGAACGGACATGCAGGTGCCACGAGTGGAAAGATGCCTCCCTGTGCCTGTGCCCTGCACACTGAGACCTTGTGACTATCTGAGAATGGTGGGGGACAAGCACTCACATCCCCTCTGTGATAGCATCAAGTGGCCCAGAACCAGGAGAGCACCAGGGCCTCCTCACTGCCCTCAGAGAAGCCCTGGACACCCAACCCACAGGGAACAGGGATAGGAGGGGAAAGTTGGGACTCAGTGCTGACCAGGGCCAGGCACAAGTGGTGCAGGGTCAGAGCTCTGCCCTGTGTCCATCCTCTGGTCCCTGTGGAGGCTCAGAGAGGAGCTTTGGGTCACTCAGCAAACAATATCAAGCTGGGGGACAAAGCCAGGAGTGTCAGCTGTGACCCTGTCCATCTACCCCTAGACAAGTTCTCCCTGCACCTAAGGACCCTGTGAGCAGCTGGGGACCATGCTGTGACAGGCTGTGTGCTGTTGTGTACCCTCAGCCACCAAGAGCCACCTCTTTGCAGAGGGGACACTCTGGCTGGGAGAGAACAAGTCACCACTCTGAGGTCACAGAGCCACCTGTCTGCAGATCCCATGCACCACATCCCACCACCCTGCCAGTGACCAGCCGGGGACATGTCCCCTGAGCACTTTCGGACACACAGGTACGTCTCTGGGAAAAGCAGCCTCCCAGAGGACAAGCAGGAAATGACACCAGGACACAGGGGGTGACACAGAGCATGGGGCCAGCTGTGTGAGGGCTCATATGCAAAGGACGGACCTTTAGCATGTGGCCTTCATGGCAGGCTGGGCGTGTCGCAGAGCGCAGAGCGTGACGCGGGTGGGCACAGGTGGGGCCCTCGCTTACCCACGCACTTCCTGTGCGCGTTGAGGATATAGCCCTCAGCGCAGAGCACTGTGTGGTTGACACAGGAGAAGGATCCCAAGGTGTTCACACAGAACTGGCGCCGGCTACAATCGTGAGTGCCCAACAGGCACTCGTCTTGGTCTAGTGGCAGCCACGGAAGGAAAAACAGAAGGGCTGTTAGAGAAGTGAGGCCTATCCTGGGGCAGTGCATGACAGAGGGCCACCCGAGACCCAAAAAGGGGCAGGAAGTGCCCATGTCACGCCAGAGTTCGAAGAACCCAAAGATGTCAAAGCTGAGCCCCACTACGAACAGAAAGAGATGAGGCTCAGAAAGGGTAGGCAGGAGGCCTAGGGTCACACAGCACTGCAGAACCAGGTGCCACCTCCCTCCTATGCTGTGTACCAACCCCCTGGCCACAGGTAGCAAGGAACCCATAGCACAGGGCTGCACACCCACGGCTTCAGGGGCCAGGAGAGGGCATGAGTATACAGTGCAGGTGTTCTGTTGTGCTGCAGGGCTGAGGCCCATTAGGAAAAGGATAGGCAAGAGCAACCCAAAGTTGGAAACGCTGTAAAAATGCCTAAGCTGGCTGTGGCTGAGAAGTCCCTGGATTACTTCAGACACCGTAGAGAAGAGCCAGACACCGCTGCAGAGCAGGCTATCCGCTCTCAGATGGTCCACTGCAGCCTCTGCCTCCACCCACAGCTCCTCCTGCCAGGGCCCTGGAGATAGGCTGGAGAGATGCCATGCCAGCCAGGTCACAAGGCCAGTGACCCCAGAGTGATGCCCTTTTCTGTCCTCAGGACGCTGGCAGGAGACAGAGCTCAGGGAACAGAACACCGACTCTGCCATGGTCCCTGTGCTGTGCACCAGGGCAAGTCTGCTGCCCTGGCTGGGATCACAGCATGTTTTTGACCCACAGTGGAACCCACCAGGGCCAGGTCTCTTCACCCAGACCATCTGCACACTCAGGCCCCTCCTGTCTGTCACTAGGTGGTAGAGGCTGGAGACTGTGCAAGCTGTCCCAGAGATGTCACTCCACCCTTGCCACCACTGGGCAGCGGAGAGGGCTTGGCTTACAGAGGACTGTGGGGATACCATGCCACCTCAGTGAGGCCACCCAGGAAAAAGGACATGAGTTTCTTTGTGAATGGCAGTGGCAGCTCACTGTCGCCAAGATCCGGTCCACCTCCATCATCCTGGTAACAAAGACTGGGCAGGGACCCCTCGCCAGCCTCCCACGGCAGACTATCACAGGATGGAAGCCATTCCTGGGTGTCACCCTGAACAAGTGGGTGTCACTTCTATCCTTCCCTTTCTCTACCTGGGACAGGAACACAGATGGAGAGGATGATTACGAACCTACTCCCACCCTGGACAGGCACAACACAAGGATATGGCAAGGGAAGTGTGGCCCAGGACCTTATTAGAAACACATGCCCCAATCCCACTGGACCCTGAGCAGGGATCTGTTCCCACCAGGTCTCTAGGGGACAAAGTAAAGGTCAGTGATGAGGTACACAGTTGAGTCTGAGCAGCACCATTTCCACAAGAGCAGAACAAGGAGCTGGGAGGAGCCCAGGGCCAGGACATGGGCAGCATGAAGCCACCCTGGAGGGCCAGGAGCTCTGCCATGCAGACAAACCTATCACTCACAGATCCCACCACAGGTAGCAGGGCAGCCCTTGGCACTCACCTTCACAGGACACGCCATCCGCCATGATGGCATAGCCGGGGAAGCAGGAGCACCTGGCTGAGCCCCCAATGACACTGCACACCTGCCTGCAGGGTCCGTTGTCTGAAGGAGATGGCACAGGGGTCAGAGAGTGCAGCCACGTGGGTCCCCATCACCCTGGCTCTAACCCATGAGGCAGAAGCAGAAGAATAAAGAGGCAGAGAAACTGGGATGCAATAACCCCTTTCCTGGGTCAGCAGCTACATGGACTCCTGGGTCCACACATCCCCCACCATTCAGGTCCAACCCATTGCTCTAGTGACACAAAAGAAGGAAGAGACAGCAGAGAGGCATAGGGGAAGAAGGGGAGGGAGGGATAGAAGAGTAAATGGATGGACAAATGGATGGATGGATGGATGGATGGATGGATGGATGGATGGATGGACAGAGGATGGATGGAAGGAAGGATGGATGGATGGATGGATGGATGGATGGAT